AACGTGAACACACCACCGTTTACCCACCACCGTGAACCCACCACACACCTGTCACAAACGCACCACCGTGAACCCACCTCAGATTTGTCACACACCCACCACCGTCAACGCACCTCAGATCTGTCATGTGAACCTACCACCGTCAACGCACCTCAGATCTGTCACGTGAACCCACCACCGTCAACCCACCACCATCAACCCGCCACCGTTTACCCACCACCGTCAACGCACCTCAGATCTCTCACATGAACCCACCACCGTCAACCCACCACCATCAACCCACCACCGTGAACCCACCACCGTAACCGAAGAGATCTGTCACAAACCCACCTCAGATCTATCGCAGATCTGTCTACAAGTGAAAGGTGTTTTTCTAAGTTTTTGTGTTGTTTGGCAGGTTTATAATATTGACTACACGCATGAATCCTTTTAATTGTGTGATGTTTAATTGTGTTTTGTTAAGTTTTTGTTTTGTTTGGCAGGTATTTAATATCGGGTACACACATGATGACATGAATCATTTTAATTGTGTTTGATGTTTATCTGTCTCAGGGAAGGGAAAGAGACCCGTTACCTATTTGTTTTCAAGACATCGAGACGCAATTTTTTTCATTTTTATTTTATTGGAAATAATTTGTGTTAATATTTTAATTTGGACTTTAATAATGCGTTTTGTAATTGGTTGACTCAAACTGATATCTGCACATGAGCACATGCGTCAAAATATTGTGTAGTTTCATATGTTCTGTATGTAACGTGCTATATGTAATGGATAAATTTTGAGAGTAAAAAATTATTGGATTATTAGAAATATTTTATTCGGATTTCACTAATTGATATATTTGTTTTGTAGATTCGATATCGTTCTTTAATTGTAATAACAAATTACGCTCATGTGCACAGATGTCAGTATAATTTGTCTCGACATCGTAGGATTGATTACTACTTGCAATAGAGGCGAAAGTTTTGACGTTTTTCCAGACTTGGAGTTCGTCATACACCTTGTTGGTCGACATTGTTTATATCTTCCCTTGCATTGACGTCTTCAAGCAATGTCGGATTTAACGAGGTATAAGTTTATATGTGTTTACTTGATTACGTTAACATGTGAGTATTATACTTTGTAATGTGATTGGTGATTCGTATGGTCTCCCAATGTTGGTTGTCCCTCACCGTACTGTCCTTAGATGAGTGATTTTGTGGCCTGGTCCGTTGAGATGACCCATAAATTTCTGGTCCTGTTATCTGAGGGGGCCAAAACTTTGCACGATACTGCAATAAAAACAGCAGATTACCAGGCAATGTTGGACGACATATCATCAGTGGTTGGCAAGAGACTCAACGTCACACAATTAACCTCTAAGTTCTTTCACCTACGAAGAACTTATCAAGCATGGCAGAAATTGCTGCAACACACGGGGTTCGGGTGGGATCACGAGTCACAAAGTCCAATGTGTCCCGTTGAGGTTTGGCAAGAATATGTCAAGGTAAATTTTCATATTTTTTAACTAATATTATTCAACGACACCATAATTGTACGCATTTTTTTTTTCTTCGGACTGCTAAATATTAATATATTATTCTTTTAACTTACCAGCAAAACCCAATGGTGCAACAATTTTACCACAAGAGAGTTCCTCACAAGCAGCTTTATGAAATCATATTTGAGAAGCAAACTGCCACTGCCACTGGGAGATATGCGTACACATCTACATCTCAACCGGTGGAGACCTCCAATTATTCCAATCAGGGCGTGATTCCCATTGATAATAGCGACTTTGAACCTGATCCAGATTGGACGACAAGGGAAAAACGGCCAAACAGATTTGGCCACGGAAGAGCGAGAAATAGGAGGAATAGAAGCGGCCTGAGACAATCACTTGTGGATGTCCTTGGTAGATTGACGAACGAGCTTATGGAGAAGCGGACTATGGGATCAAGGCTTAGCAATCGCAGTGCAGATGAGAGGGACGAAGAGAACACCAGTGCTCCATCTTATTCTTTTTCCATGAGCAATTGTATTGACATCATGACGGCCATGCAAATACCGACACAGTTTTACCTGCCGGTTGTCTAGCACTTATATGAAAATCCAGGGTGGCAGGAGATATTTGTGAAACTCCTGCTCGAGCAAAAGGTTAACTGGATTTATAACAAATTTCCCAATAAGTAGATGACACTATATTTCCTAAGTGCTTGGCAACGATTTTGTATGCGTCAATGGGCAGTTGTCATTACAATTACAATTTATAACGCTATTGTATGAACTTATTAACTATGGTACTGTTTTATGTGATATTACATGTTTAAACACCGTTTTGGATTGTCATTAGAATTAAATATTGACTGTTATATTTTGCTAAGTAGTACAACAACTGTTAATTGTTGATAATTGTTGATAAATGTTTTGCAAATGTGTAGGTTTAAATGGCATCGTCTAGCCGTACAGGAAGAAGACGACGTGCTACAGATGAGAGGGACGAAGAAGAAATACTGATAGATATAGCCATTGCACTCTGCGGTGTTGCCGCGTTAGAAGCAAGTGGGCGTGAACTGCGACATCCGTATTAACTGGTCATCAGTACATGTTGAAAGTACTCAATGGTCATCCTGACAGAATCTATGACAAGGGCTGCATGGACAAAGACTGTTTTACATACTTATGTGAAATTTTGTCCGATCAACGCAAATTTCAACCAACCAGGAATACGAGTTTGGAAGAATAAGTTATGATATTTCTAACAATCGTTGGAAAAAACGAGACAATCAAAACGATGATGGAGGATTTCCAACATTCAGGTGAGACGATTTCTAGACATGTTGCCACAGTTTGTGACGCTATATGTGAGTTGAATACAGAGTTTATCAGACCACCTGACTTCAATGATGTTCCATGGGAAATATCAGCCAACAGAAAATATTACCCTTTCTTTAAGGTACTGGTTCATTATGTTTTCTATTAGTAAATAGTTAAGTTCATTGTGTTATTAATTTTTATAGTCAGTTAATATGAGTAAAATTCAATTTTCATGATAGGATTGTATTGGAGCCATGGATGACACACATGTAACCGCTTCGGTTCCACATGAATTTGCCGATAGGTACTGGAATCGCAAAGAAACGATGTCACAGAATGTAATGGCTGTATGCGACTTTAAGATGATGTTTACTTATGTTGTTACTGGATGGGAAGGATCTACGCATGATTCAAGAGTTTTAAATTCAATTCTTAATGATCCTAATTCTGGATTCCCACATCCTCCACCAGGTATAAGTATTTTTTTGACATATTATAGCATATTTGCTCCACTGTTGAGGCCTTGTAATTCAAATAAAATGTCTGATATTATTACGGGGAAATACTATTTGGTTGATGTGGGTTATCCTAATAGAGATGGGTTCCTCGCCCCTCATAGGCAAGTGGCTTACCATATTTCAGATCACCGCCGTAACCGAAAGGGGCCGCAAGAGTTATTTAACTATAGACATGCTTCACTCCGCAATGTTGTCGAGAGAACCTTTGGTGTTTTGAAAAGACGGTTCCGTATTCTGAATGGAATGAACAATTACCCGTTGGACAAACAAGGGAAGATTGTTATGGCATGTTGTGTATTTCATAATTTTATCAGAATGTACAATATGGACGACCGTATCTTCGAACAAACCAATAATAGTACGGGTAATGAGCAAGTATATCGTGATTGTCAAAACGAGACAGAATATGGCCGAAATGGAGAAGGACCGAGTCAACCGCAGCAAGGTATTATAGACAACATGACAACTGTGCGGGATAACATAACGAATGCACTGTAGGCAGTACAGTGGACCATGTCGTAGTTGTTAATAGAGTATACGTGTAAGAATTATTATAAGGGTTGATAATTAATAATTTTGTCATATATGTATTAATGTGATGTTTTTAAACAGTTGGATTAATACTTGAAATTAATATGGGTTTTTGTTTTTTAATATTTACGGGTGACAAAATTACCAATAAAATGTTTAATATTATTAAAATGTAAATTGATAAGTTATATATATAATAATACATTATTTTAACAAAATGCAACAAAATATTATATTAATAAATCATTTATAAAAAAGTATATTAATCAAATATTCAGCATAAATATCAAGGTCAAAATACTCAACCAAACACATATTCTGTAAATCATATTCTCGTAATCATAACCCTACTCAACTATCCAATATTATTCTCAAAATTCTATCCAAAATAATGAACTAAACGCACTCTAGGATATTTGACAAAAATGAGAGAAAAGAGATGAATAGTAACTTGAGCGAAAAAGCTCGGTAGTATAGGTGAAGGGAAAATTTTGAAAATCAAAATACTCTTCCCAAATTCTATCATAAATTTCACATCCAAAGTGATGTGCCAACATATGTGACAGTGACATGTAAATAAAGTAATGATGCATTGAATAACATGTCAATGCTCATATAATGAATATGTTGATTTTGGAAGCACGTCAAGCCATCCCTGAATCGCCAAAGTCGTTGCTACAAATAAAGAATTTGACTAACAATAATATTCCTAGTATCAAGCATGGTCATCCACTAATCATAATTTGGATTATTTTCATAATATGATAGATTTCTTGTGCTATATTCTTAGAGACAAATAAATAAGAATAATCATCAAAATGAAATTGTAACTTATCAATAAGTCCTTCCTCACCTAAGACCAATTATCCTCGTTAAATCAACTATAACTCAAAAACAATAATTACCATCAGTAAAAGCATCGCTGACACAACATATGAAATGTCTTAAAACACATAGCAAATGAATCCATGTAAAAATGGGCTTAAGCGATCTTCTTTGAAATACCTTCATTTTTAGATGCTTTTGTGCATTTGTTACTACTATCCGAAACCCTTGGGTGTGTTGGGAGTTTCCTCAAACCCCTTCAAGAATCAAGACCCCTATAAAGCCCATTACCTTCACAACCAATTCTCATTCCCTTGAATAAAAACCAAATGAAAAGTCTTTATCTTCTCTTTAAACCAACCACTTTACCCGCCAAAACCAAAACCCTTCGTAAACTGTCTCGCCAATCTAAAGAAACCCATTTCATATCTCTCATTCATTACTCCAAAACAATCAAACAACTCCGCCAAATTCACGCTCAAATTCTTCGGCACAAACTCTTTCCAAACAGTCGCATAACAACCCAGTTAATATCAGCTTCTTCTTTACTCAAATCCGTTCACTATTCCCTATCTATCTTTAACCACTTCACTCCCAAGAACTCTCACGTTTTCAATGCTTTGATTCGTGGGCTTGCCGAAAGTTCTTGTTTTCAAAGCTCTATTTCTCATTTTATTTACATGTTTAGCTTAGGTGTTAAACCCATTAGGCTAACTGATCCATTTGTGTTGAAATCAGCGGCAAGTTTGTGTCTTGGTGATCTTGGTAGGGCCTTGCATGGTGTGGTTGTGAAAGTTGGTGTTGAGTTTGATACGTTTGTTAGGGTTTGTTTGGTCGATATGTATGTAAAAGTTGAAGAACTGGGATCGGGATTTAAGGTGTTCGATGAAAGTCCTGAGGAGATTAATTTGTTGTGGAATGTATTGATTAATGGGTGCTCTAAAGTTGGGGATATGGGGAAGGCCGTTGAACTTTTTGAGGCGATGCCAGAGAGGAATTTGGGGTCATGGAATAGTTTGATAAATGGGTTTATGAGGAGTGGGGATTTGGAGAGAGCAAGTGTGCTTTTTGAGCGAATGCCGGAGAAGAATGTGGTTTCTTGGACCACGATGGTTAGTGGGTATTCACAAAATGGAGAACATGTAAAGGCGTTGGCGATGTTTTTTCGGATGCTGGAGGAGGGTGTGAAGGCAAATGATCATAGTGTTGTTACTGCTCTTTCGGCTTCTGCTAAAGTTGGTGCTCTTGAAGCTGGATTACGAATTCATAATTATATTTCACGCAATGGTTTTAGGTTGAATGTAGCTATTGGGAATGCTTTGGTGGATATGTATGCAAAATGTGGGAATATTGAGGCAGCTAGTTTGGTTTTTGATGAGACAAAAGAAAAGGACATTGTTACTTGGACTGCAATGATATGGGGTTGGGCAATCCATGGACATTTTGAGAGAGCTATCCAATGCTTCAAAGAGATGATGTACTCAGGTGTTTGACTTTGTAATGTTAAATTTATATCCATCCTGTTTTAAGGATTTTTTTTTAGTGACATTAAGTTTCTGTGTTTGCAGGAATAAAACCAGATGGGATTGTCTTCCTTGCGATACTAACTGCATGTTCATATGCTGGGCAAGTAAATATGGGACTTAACTTCTTTGACAGCATGAGGCTTGACTATTCCATTGAACCTACTATGAAGCATTATACATTGATTGTTGATATGTTAGGCAGGACAGGTCGGCTAGAACAGGCTCTGAAGTTCATTCAAAGAATGCCGATAGATCCTGATTTCATGATATGGGGAACACTCTTTTGCGCTTCTAGGGCTCAGAAAAACAATGAAATGGCTGAATTTGCCTCACAGAGGCTCCTGCAGCTTGAACCCAAGCATCCTGGGATCTGTGTTTTCTTGTCAAACATTTATGCAGCAGCAGGGAGATGGGAAGATTTAGAGAGAATCAGGAGATTAATGCAGAGTAGACAATTAGAGAAAAATCTGGGATGTAGTTATGTTGAGGTGGATGGCCAAGTGCACTGTTTTGTAGCTGGTGATCATGCTCATCAAGATGGAAAGGAGATATACCTGAAGTTAGAGGAAATAATGACTGGTGCTGGGGAACTAGGATATATGCCTGGAACTAAATGGGTACTGTATAGCATTGAAGAAGAAGAGAAGGAAGACGCCTCGGGAATTCATAGTGAGAAGTTGGCGCTTGCTTTCAGCCTCATTCGAACTGCTCCAGGAAGAACCATTAGGATCATTAAGAACCTTAGGGTCTGTGGTGATTGCCATTCTCTGATGAAATATGCTAGCAAACTGAGCCAAAGGGAGATAGTCTTGAGAGATATAAAGCGATTCCATCATTTCAAGGACGGAATTTGCTCCTGTGGAGATCATTGGTAACAAAAACATTGTAAGTACTCTTCACCTTCTACATATAATCTTATGGATTGTTCTTCATGGTCTAGCATTTTATGATTGCTCTATATGGAAACATGTGAACTTAATAAAAAATGTGTTGGGTGAGAGCAGTCACAGCAGTCACATCAGTCAAGAGTGCTTGTTATGGATCTTTAGTCTGTATATATGTATGTGGCAATTATAATGATTTAGTTCTTTCCTCTTTTAATCATGCCATTCCATTTGGTTCTACTGGCAGTGATGAGATAAGTCATTATAATTTCAGAATATGCAAATATTGGGACTGTGTACATGGACATTGGTGGTGCGGTAACTCAATGCTTGAAGTGTATCTGAAAAACTGAGGAGAAAAATGCTTTTTTAGGTTGTGCTTTTATTGGAAACCTTGATTTAGCCTGGTTTGTTTTCATTTTCAAAATTTCTTTTTGCCGGAGTTATGGATCAGTCCGAAGGTTTGGTGGCATTATAATCACATGAAAATATGGAGAAAAGATGTTTCGTGGAGTTTGCCTCACTTCATTAGATAACTTCATTTCAATTCTCACTATCAGTTATAGATGAATGGCAGTGCCAGCTAGTCCTATCAGATATAGGATATGAAGACAATTTCAAAGTAAGGAAGCAATATGATTACTGAGATTGGGATCTCAAATTTTCGCTGATATTAAAAAATTATTTATTTATTATTATTATTATTATTATTTTCTGGAGACCGTTATGAATAAGCTATTATTAAGCTATCCTGTGTGTCAAAATTTTCAACTAGTGTAACATCCATGCAATTTCATAGTTTTAAGCTTCACTATCTAGACATGGATAACTCTGAACATAATTTCTATAAAATTTTAAAGAATTCAAGAATATTTGTAAAGATATTTAACAATGGGGGAGTATTATTATTGGAGGTATTTGTATTTTTATTTTAGAGTTTAATTACCATTGTTGGGCTATTTCCTATGAGCTTTAGCTCTCCAGTTTAATGGTTTTCTAACTTTTTTTTCAAATCTTGTTAACCATCTCATGATAAATTGGGCATTTGTTTTTGTGTTTGTGTTTATTTAGTTTTATGTGACATGTTTGTTGAGTAGAATTTCATTTTGCACATGAGGAAACCTATTAAGAGTATAAGTGCTATCATTGAGCCTTTCCCTATAAATTTCAATATTGCTACATTTTTGTATTTCTGTATTTTCAGAAGATTTCTCCATTATTATCTCCCAAAATAGCAAATAGATGTTTACCATTGTAGTCATCAAGGTAACTTGTTTATTAAATATTAATACTGGTTGTCAATTTTCATTTAGAACTTCTGTATCATTGACTAACATCATAGACTTACTCTATATTTCTGGTAGTCTTCTGTATCTTTTAATTTAGCATCTATAGAATTGTTTCATGTAATTTGGTAACCCACTCTATTACTTTTCCTTTTAATAGGAAAATATTTGGACCAGCTAGGGACTCCTAAAAGCAAAGCAAATTGGGGACAAAATGAAAGAAAACAGTATGTCTTTATCTGTAGTATATATCTTTTGTATTGTACTTACATTCCATGCGTTTCAGTCTAATATTATATGACACAAAATACCCCTTTTCTTCACTTGATAAAACAACTGTTTTGTTCCAGGTTGTTGGCCAGGCGGAGAGCTGATAAAGAGGAAAATAAAAGAGCTAGAGAAAAAAATCATTAGAAGTTGGAAGTAGCACAAGGTTTTTGCTACCCTTTTCTTTTTTTTCTGTTTCTTCCCCCAATCCATTATCCAATTCTCCAAGACACGTTCTTAATACAGTTTGTTTAATGTTCTTCAAGTATTGTTTAACTTGTACTTACAGAAAGAAGAATGCTGAAACACTTATTCATATTATACGTTAGCCAAATCTTACTAGCTCTGATTTTGCGACTAATAGGTGATTGGAAAAACTGCATACACAAATTTATCTATTGCCACTATTAATGTTCTGCATCACATAAGTTATTTATATTTTTTTTTTTTTCTCTTTTTGAATTGCCTATTATACCTGGGTGAATAAGTTTATTTATGTTTCACAGGCATAAACGAGGCTTGGAGTGCTCTTGGAAGAGCCTGAAACCATAAACCCTTAAGATTCTGCTATGGAGGAAACAAAGGCATGAAGTTGTTGCTTTTTATGCTTCGACCATACCTCAAACCAATTCTCATTCCCTTAATAAAAACCAAAAGAAAAGTCTTTATCTTCTCTTTAAACCAACCACTTTACCCGCCAAAACCAAAACCCTTCGTAAACTGCTCGCCAATCTAAAGAAACCCATTTCATATCTCTCATTCATACTCCAAAACAATCAAACAACTCCGCCAAATCACGCTCAAATTCTTCGGACAAAACTCTTTCCAAACAGTCGCATAACAACCCAGTAATATCAGCTTCTTCTTTATCAAATCCGTTCACTTCCCTATCTATCTTTAACCACTTCACTCCCAAGAACTCCACGTTTTCAATGCTTTGATTCGTGGGCTTGCCGAAAGTTCTTGTTTTCAAAGCTCTATTCTCATTTTATTACATGTTTAGCTTAGGTGTTAAACCCATTAGGCTAACTATCCATTTGTGTTGAAATCGCGGCAAGTTTGTGTCTGGGTATCTTGGTAGGGCCTGCATGGTGTGGTTGTGAAAGTTGGTGTTGAGTTTGATACGTTTGTTAGGGTTGTTTGGTCGATATGTATGTAAAAGTTGAAGAACTGGGATCGGGATTTAAGGTGTTCGATGAAAGTCCTGGGAGATTAATTGTTGTGGAATGTATTGATTAATGGGTGCTCTAAAGTTGGGGATATGGGGAAGGCCTTGAACTTTTTGAGGCGATGCCAGAGAGGAATTTGGGGTCTGGAATAGTTTGATAAATGGGTTTATGAGGAGTGGGGATTTGGAGAGAGCAAGTGTGCTTTTTGAGCGAATGCCGGAGAAGAATGGTGTTCTTGGACCACGATGGTTAGTGGGTATTCACAAAATGGAGAACATGTAAAGGGTTGGCGATGTTTTTTCGGATGCTGGAGGAGGGTGTGAAGGCAAATGATCATAGTGTTGTTACTGCTCTTTCGGCTTCTGCTAAAGTTGGTGCTCTTGAAACTGGATTACGAATTCATATTATATTTCACGCAATGGTTTAGGTGAATGTAGCTATTGGGAATGCTTTGGTGGATATGTATGCAAAATGTGGAATATTGAGGCAGCTAGTTTGGTTTTGTTAAGACAAAAGAAAAGGACATTTTACTTGGACTGCAATGATATGGGGTGGGCAATCCATGGACTTTTGAGAGAGCTATCCAATGCTTCAAAGAGATGATGTACTCAGTGTTTGACTTTGTAATGTTAAATTTATATCCATCCTGTTTTTAGGATTTTTTTTTAGTGACATTAAGTTTCTGTGTTTGGAGGAATAAAACCAGAGGGATTGTCTTCTTGCGATACTAACGCATGTTCATATGCTGGGCAAGTAAATATGGGACTTAATCTTTGACAGCATGAGGCTTGAATATCATTGAACCTACTATGAAGCATTATCATTGATTGTTGATATGTTAGGCAGGACAGGTCGGCTAGAACAGGCTCTGAAGTTCATTCAGAATGCCGATAGATCCTGATTTCATGATATGGGGAACACTCTTTTGCGGTCTAGGGCTCAGAAAACAATGAAATGGCTGAATTTGCCTCACAGAGGCTCCTGCAGCTTGAACCCAAGCATCCTGGGATCTGGTTTTCTTGTCAAACATTTATGCAGCAGCAGGGATGGGAAGATTTAGGAGAAGAGGAGATATTGCAGAGTAGACAATTAGAGAAAATCTGGGATGTAGTTATGTTGAGGTGGATGGCCAAGTGCAATGTTGTAGCTGGTGATCATGCTCATCAAGATGGAAAGGAGATATACCTGAGTTAGAGGAAATAATGACTGGTGCTGGGGAACTAGGATATATGCCTGGAACTAAATGGGTACTGATAGCATTGAAGAAGAAGAGAGGAAGACGCCTCGGGAATTCATAGTCAATAAGTCCTTCCTCACCTAAGACCAATTATCCTCGTTAAATCAACTATAACTCAAAAACCAAGGCTTTGTTTGGTTGCATTTTGGGAATACTACTTTTAGTATTCTCAAAAAAGTTAAACAGTAAAATACTCAAAAACTCACAATATTATTCAACTTTTTTTAAACCCCTTAAATTTGTTAATTTAATTAAATACCCCTAAATATTTTTTTAAAAATTACAAAAACACCCCAACAATCCACATTTACTAGATTTCGGCCACCAATGTCAGAAAATGGCCGGAATTTGGTAAGATGGCACACTACCGGCTGAATCTGGCCAGCAGTGCACCGATCTAGCCTTTTCCGGCCAGATCCACAGTGGATCTGGTCGTTGACGGCCAGATCTTTGGCCGTAACCAGTCGGTAACGACGGCCAACAAACGGTCGTCGTTGATGGTCAACGACGACCGTTTGTTGGCCGTCGTTGAATAGCAAAATACTGCCAGATCTGGCCGTCAATGGCCAAATCTAGCCGTAGATCTGGCTGGCCTTTGCCGGCCAGATCCACCGTGGATATGATCGGAAAAGGCCACATCGGCGCACGACCGGCAAGATCTAGCTGGTCATACGCCGATACGGCGACTCCGGCCACCTTCCATCGGTGGTGGTCAGCTGTCCGTATTTGAGGGTGGGTTGGGGGTGTTTTTGTTAACTTTTAATGTTTTATTATAGGGGGTATTTTGTAAAAAAATAAACATGGGGGTATTTTATAATTTATAAATCTTACATCGTAATACCTGCCAATTCAACTTTTTTTTAACTTTTTCCAAAAACACAAAATTGTGAATCAAACGGAGCCCATAATTACCATCAATAAAAGCATAGCTGACACAATATATGAAATGTCTTAAAACACATAGCAAATGAATCAATGTAAAAATGGGCTTAAGCGATCTTCTTTGAAATACCCTCATTTTTAGATGCTTTTGTGCATTTGTTACTACTATCCGAAACCCTTGGGTGTGTTGGAGTTTCCTCAAACCCCTTCAAGAATCAAGAATTCAAGACCCCCTATAAAGCCCATTACCTTCACAACCAAGTCTAATTACCTTAAATAAAAACCAAATGAAAAGTCTTTATCTTCCTTTAAACCAACCACTTTACCCGCCAAAACCAAAACCCTTCGTAAACTGTCTCGCCAATCTAAAGAAACCCATTTCATATCTCTCATTCAACTCCAAAACAACAAACAACTCCGCAAATCACGCTCAAATTCTTCGGCACAAACTCTTCCAAACAGTCGCATAAAACCAGTTAATATCAGCTTTCTTTACTCAAATCCGTTCACTATTCCTATCTATCTTTAACCACTTCACTCCCAAGAACTCTCACGTTTTCAATGCTTTGATTGTGGGCTGCCGAAAGTTCTTGTTTTCAAAGCTCTATTTCTCATTTATTACATTTAGCTTAGGGTTAAACCCATTAGGCTAACTATCCATTGTGTTGAAATCAGGCAAGTTTGGTCTTGGTGATCTTGGTGGGCCTTGCATGGTGTGGTTGTGGAATTGTTGGTTGTTGAGTTTGATACGTTTGTTAGGGTTTGTTTGGTCGATATGTATGTAAAAGTTGAAGAACGGGATCGGGATTTAAGGTGTTCGATGAAAGTCCTGGGAGATTAATTGTTGTGGAATGTATTGATTAATGGGTGCTCTAAAGTGGGGATATGGGGAAGGCTTGAACTTTTTGAGGCGATGCCAGAGAGGAATTTGGGGTCTGGAATAGTTTGATAAATGGGTTTATGAGGAGTGGGGATTTGGAGAGAGCAAGTGTGCTTTTTGAGCGAATGCCGGAGAAGATGTGGTTTCTTGGACCACGATGGTTAGTGGGTATTCACAAAAGGGAACATGTAAAGGCGTTGGCGATGTTTTTTCGGATGCTGGAGGAGGGTGTGAAGAAATGATCATAGTGTGTTACTGCTCTTTCGGCTTCTGCTAAAGTTGGTGTCTTGAAGCTGGATTACGAATTCATAATTATATTTCACGCAATGGTTTTAGGTTGAATGTAGCTATTGGGAAGCTTTGGTGGATATGTATGCAAAATGTGGGAATATTGAGGCAGCTAGTTTGGTTTTTGTAAGACAAAAGAAAAGGACATTTACTTGGACTGCAATGATATGGGGTTGGGAATCCATGGACATTTTGAGAGAGCTATCCAATGCTTCAAAGAGATGATGTACTCAGGTTGTGACTTTGTAATGTTAAATTTATATCCATCCTGTTTTAAGGATTTTTTTTTAGTGACATTAAGTTTCTGTGTTTGCAGGAATAAACCAGATGGGATTGTCTTCCTTGCGATACTAACTGCATGTTCATATGGGGCAGTAAATATGGGACTTAACTCTTTGACAGCTGAGGCTTGACTATTCCATTGAACCTACTATGAAGCATTATCATTGATTGTTGATATGTTAGGCAGGACAGGTCGGCTAGAACAGGCTCTGAAGTTCATTCAAGAATGCCGATAGATCCTGATTTCATGATATGGGGAACACTCTTTTGCGCTTCTAGGGCTCAGAAAAACAATGAAATGGCTGAATTTGCCTCACAGAGGCTCCTGCAGCTTGAACCAAGCATCCTGGGATTGTGTTTTCTTGTCAACATTTATGCAGCAGCAGGGAGATGGGAAGATTTAGAGAGAAAGGAGATTAATGCAGAGTAGACAATTAGAGAAAAATCTGGGATGTAGTTATGTTGAGGGGGATGGCCAAGTGCACTGTTTTGTAGCTGGTGATCATGCTCATCAAGATGGAAAGGAGATATACCTGAAGTTAGAGGAAATAATGACTGGTGCTGGGGAACTAGGATATATGCTGGAACTAAATGGGTACTGATAGCATTGAAGAAGAAGAGAAGGAAGACGCTCGGGTTCATAGTGAGAAGTTGGCCTTGCTTTCAGCCTCATTCGAACTGCTCCAGGAAGAACATTAGGATCATTAAGAACCTTAGGGTCTGTGGTGATTGCCATTCTCTGATGAATATTTAGCAAACTGAGCCAAAGGGAGATAGTCTTGAGAGATATAAAGCGATTCCATCATTTCAAGGACGGATTTGCTCCTGTGGAGATCATTGGTAACAAAAACATTGTAAGTACCTTCA